CCCCACCTAAGGAATAAGACTTCAACCTATAGATGGTGACACACTTTGTCTTGTAACCAATACCTTAAATTTTTCAAAACCTTGGAAAAGACCTTATCTGACACATCATGCATCTAAAAAGACATCCAAATTCCATGCAAGAATTTGAGACAAACATTACAAAGCTCCAAAATACCAAACCTGTGGTACCTATTGTTAAACATAATTTGGGTATCTTTCATTTCATGTTCAATTATAATTAATTATCATCACAGTTAAGTTACTACAGTTCAAAAAGACTTGGAGTTTCGACTGTTTCTAAAATTAACATGAGCAAAGAATTTTTTTATTACTTTAAAATAAGGGAACATTCACAAAAAGTTTTTTTTTCCTTCAAAATAAACGATGTGACTTGATAATCAATAACAGTTACTAATGGGAGAACAATCAAGTAGCTTACTTTGTGAAGATGAAAGGAATCAGATGTCCCATGTGCATTGCTTCTGAGGATGGACCTCGTCCAGTATACAAATAAAATGGCTTTCCCTTTTCGTACATATCCAGAACATAGTCAAGATCCCTAGAAACATTCAATACAAAGAATATTTATTTAATATATTGAAAGTAAGCGCTGCCAATAGACAGACTCAGCTAACGTATTTATATCTTTATTGCCAATCAATTCAGATCATGTGACGATTTACCACAATTGCTACTAATCTTGCAATCTGATTGGCTAATTTGCCATTGTCAGTAAGGGTCCAGACAACGCTGCTCACATCATTGTGTCATACAATGCCTTTTTCAGCTCGCATTGTGAAAAAAAAAACATCTTCTTTGACATTAATATTGTGGAAAAAAACAAATCGAATGTAGTTTAGCGTTGTCTATACTCTTATCAGCAATGATATGCGTCATCACAGTGCTTAAAATTTGTTGTGGTGCACCTCGTGAGTCCACAACATTTTGACCACTGTGATAACGCATATTGTTGTTGGTAAGAGTACAGACAACGCTAAACCACATTCAATTTGTTAATTTGCACATACTCCCATAAAATCAGTTGCCTCAGACAAATTGCACAGTTGTAACCTTCCAGTGAATCATCACATGGTCTGACTTGGGACGTAACAAGTATGTTAAACACATAAGCTGAATCTGTCTATTCCAAGACTTTCTAATGTCAAACATTCATTTTTATTTAGATAGATACCGAGAATTTGGTGATAAACAAGATCATAATACACGTATCCCTCATGTGATCATTTTCTTTCTTCTCATTACCAATCGTCTACACAAGGTGTTAAATTAGTACAGAGAAATTATATGTTGATAAGCTAACACATAATTCTCTAAGATCAATAAGTAGTCAATGATTTTTAAGGAGTAACTCCCATAAAAGACTCACCAGTTTCCATTTTTTTAATTGTTTAACTGTTTTTTATTGTTGGTTCCAAAACTTACAGAAACCTCTCGCAACCACTGGAAATGAAAATTCACCTGTGAGAGAAGAACACACCCCTTCTTAGCAAATGGTGAGGTGGTTTCCCTGTCAATTTTTGAATCCTTTCTTTGTGTCTGTCTTCCAACTTTGAACAACCAAACTGTCCTGTGGATCATATGTAGTACCAAAAACAATTAACCAAGTATCAAATGGTTGCTACAATTTTCTCTAACTCCGTCTTATAACTTGAAAACATATGGCGTTAGATCCTTCTCTGTGGCAGCACCAATACTATGGAATGCTCTACCATTTGAAATAAGAAATAGTTCGTCTGTGTCCGTCTTTAAACTAGACTCAAATAGTTTCTTTTCAAAAAAGCCTTCTTGCAATTTATTTTAAACTAATGTTTTTAATTTTCAGATTATTTTTTTAGATTTTCGCCGATAATTATTGTAAAGCGCCTTTGAACATTATGATACTGGTGCTATAGAAATCTATTATTTATTATTTAACAAGGAAGGAGTAGACTCTTTATGTCTGTGCCAGTGTTATACCCTCTTGCTTCTCCCCCTGCTCTGGCAGCGAAGTCAATTATTCACTGTTGAAGTTTCTTCGCCTTAAATTACAATATAAAAAAGGAGTCTACAAGTGGTTCATCAGGCCAAAACTTATCTTTGGTCTTTGTAGGATGAGGTGACTACCAACAGTAGTTACAGTTGTTAACCAGATGCATGGCCCATCTGACCGTCCATCTGTTCAACTGACTGATCTGACATTGGTAAATGGTTATTCTACCAGATCTGGTATAAATTCTCCTTACTAACCCATGCCATTTTTAATTCTTATAGAACAAATGAGAAAAATCTGATCATAAACGTAAGTCTTAATTATAGCACTTGAAGCTATTTTTCATCATTTTATGGGTGAAAGGGTTCGGGAATGGTGCGGGGTGACACTTTTATTTTTCAGACTGGGTCAAAATTACCCCTTACCCGTCCCTCTCCCCTTGCTGCATTCCATGTACCTCGTGTATGCTTTAATAAGCTTACCTATTGATTAAAGATCGACGTCTACTGCACCGGTGAAATTGTTTTCTTAAATTAAGGACCTTACCTTGGGCATTTAATAGCATTATCAGCGACAAGACAATAAACAGAAACGGAAGCGAGCACTTACTGATCAACTTGTCGTAATCGATTCCCTTGTTGTCCGCTGCAACTACTTTTTCCATTGTCACGATTTGTTCGGCTTCTCCATTAGCCACGTTCTCTTTATTACCTTCATCACTAGAGGCTGCCATGCTCAAAACGTTTGTCCTGACACTTCTGAAAATTTTAGGAAATAGAATAACTTTTCCTCCCCTTTGGAGAATTGGAAAAGACATCCACTACCGGCATCCAGGTAAATAAATTTCGAGGAAAATTTCCTCTTACATCAGAAAGCTTGAGCCCACGATCATTGTGGCCCGTAAAATTTCCGTTTATGTGAACTTGAATTGTCTTACGTCTCACTTTGTTTGTTGAACTAGGATGTAGGGCTTTTAAGCCCCGGCCAAACGATCGCAACATTTCAACCCAACATGTCACAACATTGTTGGGCGAAACATCTTGCGTGCGTTTGGCCACCCTGTTGCGACATGTTGGGTGTTGTTGGCTTAAATTTGAAATTGGTCAAATTTTTCATGCAACGTTTGTGGATGTTGCATGATGTTGTAGTCGTTTGGCCAGGTTCGTGTAACAATGTTGAACCCGGGCATGCGCACTAGTTCGATTTTCAATACCCAACATGTCGCAACACGTCGCAACAGGGTGCCCAAACGCGTGCAACATGTTGCGCCCAACAATATTGCGATATTTGTGCTGAAATGTTGGGATCGTTTGGTCGGAGCTTGCAAATGCTGGGCCAATAATGTTGCGACATTTTGTGTTGATATGTTGCGATTGTTTGGCCGGGGCTTTAATCATTGACAGGTCTGCTAAAACTAGTTTGACTTCATTATCTACACCTACTTTCAGAACCGGCCACTAAAATCCATACTCCTTTTCCGGACTCAAATGTTTGTCTAAAGTTAGTTTTGGAGTGGAGGGGTCAATATTTCATTTTGTCAGAATAAAAGCGTGGTACAGTTATGAAAAATGTCCTTAAAAGCCATAGCCATGTTAGGCTCGATTTCCAGCCGTTTTGGGAGTGAGGTTCCTCCCAACGAACCATTCGCCCAAAATGGCAAAACTCACAATCCACATGCCAGGCAATACTCCAGATGCAATGCTTCGAGACAGCACATATATGGCTAAAAAGCTAAGATAGGAATGTAACAAGGGGTGGGGGGTCGCGGGGTGGGGGGGGGGG